CGTCCACTGTGCCCGCTTTTCATTTGTGTCACTCTGTAGAAATGTAAATATGAATAAAAGTAATGTGATAAATGATTAAAGAAGACTTTTCAAAAGAATCAACAGTTTATCCCAGAGTTTGTGGATACATACAAGAGTATCACAAATACAAACTGATAAACTATCAACTCTAAAATTATAAATAATAATGTAGTGCCTACCTGGAGCTCATCCATGGCTTCTTTGAGTCTGTCTCTGTGCTCTTCAGTTAATACAACCCCCTTCTTCTGAGCATCAATAGCATCCTGGGTGAGTTGAGTGCTGCTTGCTGTTATGGTGTCAATGATGGCTTCAAAGGCTAACCAAATTATAATGCCAAAAAATGATTGAGAAACGTGTCAGGGCCTTTATTCGGGCATGTTAGAAAAGTGTCAGGGCCTTTATTCTGGCATGTTCAAAAATCCTATACAGCACAGCTAAGAAATCCATCTAAGAAGTTTCCACAAGAATTTTTAATGCATTTCAAGTCTGTATTGGCATACAAGGAAGAAAACTAAACCAAGAAAAACAAGAAAAGGCCGTCTAAAAGTCAGAAATTGGAGCATCCATTGGAAGAGCCCACAGCATAACAAGCAGCCGCAAGAGAAGCTGTTGTACATGTACACGTACACACATGTATATGTAACAACTGACATTCGACATACATGTAGCAAATAGCACCCTCTTTTTTCTGCAAATAGCGCCCTCTTTTGTCAGGACTTTTTTCTTTTATGGTAATTGAAACATGCTGATATTTAGGCATTTGAAAACTAAAAAAACAGAATAATTCTGATTAAATTGGAACAGTTGGCAAATATGGTAGCACCCAGGGAAATGATAAAGCATAGATCAATCACAAAGAATCAGATTTCTTGATAGTTGCCACTTACAGCAGGGATTACATCTACTTTCTTACCAGCAAGATCAGCAGCATCATCTATCTCCTGTTCAATCATCTTCTCCTTTAGCTCCTTGGCTCTCTGCTCTTCTTCACGTTCCCTCCTCAACCTCTCAATGCGTGATTCCTCTTCATCTTTCTTCTGTGCTACTACTTCTTTTTCCTGCTTTGTCTTTGACCCAAAATGTAAGAATTTGGACATAATAGGTATGTGGAGACCCAGCATGGCAAGGTCATACGCTTGCTAAGGACAGCAAAATAAAAGCCTGTGCCTCTTCCTTACAGAAAGTGATTCATAATGGACGTACAAGATGTACACAGATACAGTTCTGCACTGATTATAGGGCTACTGCTCTGTTTGATGAAATTCTTGCACCACTCCCTATGAATCCAACTCAGTGAAATGTTCCTGATTCCCGAGAATCAGACCACAAGAATGGGGTTTACTTCGTAATCGGTTCAGTAAATTAACACTTCTTTCACTTCACCTCCCCAAAAGCCAGAAATACTGCCTGATAGGTATTAATTTATGAGGGATGCACTGCAACCAAAGATGCTAAACACAAACCTTTGTCATGTCAGCTGCCTCTACTGGTTTATCCTGGCCTAGATCAACTGACTTCTCACTCATAATGTCCTTCACAACTTCCTTTGTGTCTTGGAACAGTAACGGTGGCCTGCATTTGAAAATATCAAGACTTAAAATACAAACTCACTAGTTAACAAATAGATGTGCCTTTCACTGCAATGTTCTCTGAAAATGTTCTAGCCAAGGGATTATCAACATTGATCAGGAAATACATATTAAATTAACTAAACATTATTAACATTTAATTACAGAACGTGCACAAGCAGGATTAGCATCAACATGAGGTAACCCCTCATGGGGACAATGACTGATAGATTAACGCTTGCATTTCATTCTTTACATATCAGGTCACTTACATCTGGGATGGAGCTTTCTCCTTCAATGCTGGTAGTTCCTCCCCATTGATATTATTATCATTGAAGAGATATGGAGAGATTCCCAGTAAAATTGGCCAGTTACTCTCCACCTGCCTGCGAAATTCAGGGTTTGCTCTTCCATAGGCAACTGCACCAACCATCGTACCACCAGTCACTAGAATAGAACCTGCCAGAAACTTCAAGAATCGACTACCAGATCTGTTGACAAATGGAAGACATTTAAAATTGTTTCTGAACTTCAATAATTATTTTTTCTTTGAGGAAGGAGAAGGTTTCAGTAGAATCAATCATGTTACCATTTCCTGGCGAAAAAAACTGTCACAATGCTTTCAAGAATGGTCTTTAAGATCAGCTGCATCAATATTGTTTCTATCATTATGAGAATTTCAATCCTCAACTCTGTGGTTCTAAAACTCAATACCGACCCCTCATTAAATATGGAAAAATCAGGTATGCTATTACATCAAGTCATAACTTAAATAATTCAATGAAATGAAAAAACAACTTTGCCATATCTGTTTCCTTGAGGAGGTCACTAACAACAAAATCCAGAAAGCCCCTTAATGTAAGGGCACAATTAAGACAGAAAAAAGCAATTTACATATTAAAATGATAATTCAAAGTCATAAACTTGGCCCCCTTTAATGGTAAAGCCACTAGTCATCATTAGGTTTTTACTATGACACCCCCATAAAAGATTAAAAAGGAACCTGTTCTCAAAGCAGAATATTGTTGTCCATAACAAGTGCAAAGGAACAATACATTTCATCAACTACGGACAGAAGATTCTGCACAAAATTAGAGAAATAAGGCTCACTGGTTGCGCACATGTTGCATTCATGTGCATGTTGGCATATGAACAAAGTAAAATCTTTCCAGATAACATGTCAATTTACTTTCTTGGTGAAGGTGGTTGTGGGGGTGGAGCTTCTGTCTTTGTACATAGCTGGCATCTGGATGGCACCTTCAAGCTCCGCCCAGCAAAGCTACAGGCACACTGTGAAAAACAGAAATGCTTACATTACCCTGGATTACTGCATCTGGCAGTGTGAATAATTTGTTTGCCCTTCAAAATGCGCGTTCACCAAGCAAATTACAGTCATTTTCCCAAATTCCTAGTATGATTTTTTTATTAAACAGGTCAAGGCCTGATCATTAAAACATACACATGTAAATGTACATATGGTGAACATGCATAGGCCTATGTTCAAGTGCAAACAAATTATTTCCAGCTTGATTACATTAAACAGGCCTAGGTCTACCATTAAAACACACGTGTAATGTGTGTAATACACAGGCCTAACAAAAGTTGCAACATTTTTCATTCTGTTTTTTGATAAAACTAATCTCGAGGCCCCTTGACAGTAACATGCCTAATCAAGGCCCTTGCTCTGCACCAGCATGACAGGATAGCCCAAGTACTGTAGTGGCAATTATCATGACTATGCAGTAACTGAACAAGGAGAAGTTGCTGATTACTTGGGCGAAAATTACCGATTGATGGCTTACTGGAAATACAGAATGCAAAATTTCTGACAGTCGTGCCATTCCTGATTCCAGCATACATCCAGAATTTAAGGTTTATACAAACCTTACAGACAGCCATGTACAAACGTCCATAAACACATTGTGGCTGTGTTGAGTGTGCCAACTTACTCTTCCATCAAAGCTATTTGTGTAACCAGATTTCATACATGGAGTCTTCATGTTCTTAGTGAAGTCAGATGAGCAGGTTTATTCACCTTATATCCTCATTAAAATGGTGAAATTCTTGAGCATTTTGCCCATTCACAGTACAGAAAACCAGCAGCATGCACTCTAAACTATCAACTGTGTAATAGCTTGACCAATCACAGCTTTTAGTTTTCCTATAATCACCCACAAATGAAAGCTGCACTGTGACTGGTCCAATTTGCTTTCATTCCAATGACCAATCACAGCTCAGCTTTCATTTGGATGAGGTCAGGAAAACAAAAGGAAAAGTTAGGATCTGTGTTACGATTAGTCAAGCTATCACGCAGCTGACAGTTATTGAGAGTACTGTACATGCTGCTGATTTTCTGTAGTGGGGATGGGCAAAATGCTCAACTATTTCACCATTTTAATGAGGATAATAAAGTGAATAAACCTACCCATCTGACATCTCACTTCACCAAAATGACCAAGAACATGATGATTAATGAAGAAGGCATGTATGAAATTTGGTTACACACAAATATCCCTGATGGAAGCGTAAGTTGGCACAATCAAAACAGCCAAAATGTGTCAATAGGAGTGGCTATATCTGCGACTTCAAGTGCAAGGTTTGTATAAACCTATTTAGTCTCTGGTCCTCACACTAGTTCTGGAAGTATTCCAGCACGTCCGGAAACTAGACACATGCTTAAGCACTTGTAGTGCGTTGCATGACAAGCTGCAGGCATGCAGAGCTCAAACCTTAGGCCTACAGGAATATTGTAAGCGTTATTTTGTTAAGCGCAGGGAAAAGTATACATGTTATTGATTTGTGACGGCAAAGCAATATTACCTTGATTTTACTTGAGGTTTGAGTTGTGGATCGCCACATTTCGCCGGTGGTACATAACTCTAGTCAGTCCCAACCTCAGTAACCTCTGAACTCGATACATGGGCGCCGGGCATGTGCACGCGCGCACGCACGCGCACACGCATGAAAGATACATGGTGGCCACGAAATGCCCTTACACAACTCACAATGAGAAACGTAATTTCGGAAAACTGGAAATTATTGGAGCCGACAGATATCAGTTGGCCAATTATTCAACCTGCGGTATGTGAGCTTTTTGCATTTAACGTTCCTTTTTTTCTAATTTTACTGGTACGTTCATTTTAAGACAGACCCGAGATTCAAGACCACATGTCCATGCGAGTTTCACTTCGCTGCTTTTTCATCAAGAGGCATGACGTTGCCTCTCTGTCGATGGTGGGGGTATACTAATGGATAGCATTCATAATAGTCAAATAATTTTTATTTCCTCAATTTGTCACTTCATTCCCCCATTTCATTTTACCTCGCATCATCCAATTTCCACTCATTTCGTCCCATTTTATTTCTTCGGTTCGTATAATTATACACCAAAAAATCAAAAGAATGTATACAAATGCAGTTCTGATTATATGAGGTTAGATGATTATATTACAACAATGCAGGTGTACAGGTAAAAGTCCGAACCCCCCCCCCGAATATAATAAAACACCTTTTAAAACCACCAATCAACAAATTAAGACATGTATTATAACACCT